TTGACATTATGGGAGTCTTTTCTTAGTAGATGTTAGGTTGTTGTAACTATATAATGACCCAGGCTATAGGAATGTTTTGTGAAGGGTTTGTATATTGTTGCTTGACTCTTGAGAACAACAGTCAGCCTGAAGCTGGATGATTGTTTGCCTCCAGAAACTGTGGCTCCACCCAGTCTCTTCTGCTTGAGATTAAGAAATCCCACATGATGTAACTAGGCATCAGTGTTTAAGGCCAAAATACCTGTGATATTGGTGCTCCCGGCTCTGGACAGTGGAGGTGGTAACTGACTGTTCTCCAGGTGGTAGAGTAATGGTATCTCCAGGTGGTGGGGTAGCAGGGTTTCCAGGCAGTGGGGACAGCAGTCTAGGGCTTTGGGTGGGATTGTAGTCTAGATCACACTGAAATTACATGCTTTCAACCCAGCAGGCAGTAGTTCTATTACTGGCCAGAATGTGAGCAGGCCTTGGCTGGGCTGTAGCCTTTAGTAGATGCTGGGGAAGTGGTGGCTGGAATACGCTCCTGGGCCAACTATGCCACACAGGCCTCGGCATCTTCCAGCAGAATGATAGTAAGGCCCCCCCACACCCCTGGTGAGGGTGTCTTTTGAGAGGAGTGTCTTGCAAGAAGAGCCTGGTCTGCTTTTGAATGCTGGTATGGAGCTTCTCCAGAGACTCTTTCTACAGATATATTCAGTCTGATTCCTGTGCAGTTCATCAGCTGAGATTCATCAGCTGTATAGTCACCCTTTGTATTTTTTAGAAAGGTATTTGCAATGAGTAAGTCATTGATCAATTCTTTGATCTCCAGCCTCATTTCTATCACCAACTCCATAATTTGCAACTACAAATCTTTCTTCTTTGTTTCCAACTTTTAATATCACCAGATATTATTAATGAATCTTGACTACGTGTTCAATTGATTTCAGACTGCATGAATTGGTAATACTTTGCTTGTTTGCTCATCTTTGCCTTTAGTTTTTGGAACCTATATTTTAATAACAGCTATTACAAAAAGAGTAAGGGCCATGTAGGGATAGTCATATCTGACCTTTACCAACTCCACATCAGTGAACTGCTCCCACATAGAACATCTGCAATACAAAACCAATTCCTGTGAGGTCAGACATGTCCCCCCATGTGGCTACAGCTCTTTCTACTCATTCCAACACCAATCTTATGGCTCTATTGGGTCCAAAATCCAATGCAATAGCTCACATACCACGAAGAATCATATTGGATAAATCAAAAGGCTATAATTCAGGTTGGTAGCAGATAGAATCACTTTGGGTAGGTTCCAACGTGTGCTCACAGGCTCCTTAGCCTGCAGCTTTATGACTTTAGGCCAGTGTTACAAAAACCTTAGTCCTACCAATTATGGTTCTCTATCAGTCATCCAAGAAACTTGGGAAAAGTCTCTTAGCTCTGGTTTCCCAGGGTTACAGTCCTAAGTTTATGTCAGGTCTCTGGTTCTCTGCTGCATTTGTTGCTGCTCTTCTGTAGTCTGAATAGAGCAAGAAGAACTAGACCTGAAGGGTGTGCACTGCTTCTTTTTTGCTGCTGCTGAGATTCTCAATGTCTGCTGCTGAATTTACTCGATTTAGTAGTGAGGTCAGCCAATCCATTTGTGGATAGACAAATAGATCTTTTTTGCATATTCCTGCCTATCCACATACTGCACAGTCAAAGTCAATGACTAGGGAAGACAACAAACCCTTAAAACTATAGTTATGTTAACAGGTCTTTGTATGTGTATGGATAATATTCCTTCATTCACAATATTGTACTTCAGGATAGATCTTGAAATGGTCTTTTTTACTATGAATGCAATACTATTCTTACTCAATTTTTCATTCCTGACATAATCCTATGATTGTCTAATTCAAAGTGGCCATGCCAGTCCATTTTGCTTACTGATGCCTAGGATGTTGATCTTTATGCTTTCCATTTACTTTTTTTACAACTTTCCATTTTTCTAGATTTATAATTCCAACTTTTTATGTTTCAATTATTTGTAGCCTTATTTTTTAAAAATCTTTTATTAATGTAGTTTTAGTATAGAAAGGATAGACATTCACTTATTAATTGGTAAACATTTTACTCCCTCCCCCTTCCCCAATTCACTATATAATGCATGTCTTGTTCCAGATAGGTTTTTTTTTTGTTTGTTTGTTTTTTATTAATTGTGCTTAGCCATACATGCTCATATCCTTGAAGATGTATCATGGAACTGTTGCAGCCTAGAAGACACAAATTTAACTAACAAGTTAAAAGAACATTAAGACCAATAATAATCCAAGTAGAGGTTCTAACAGTGGCACAAATCAAGTTACAGAGGGAAGGTAGTTCTTAAAAGAAAAGGCCTATTGATTAGCACTTTGTCTATTATAGTATAAAGGTTAGGAACCACAAGATGTAGAGGCTCAACTATGTCATTTATTGTTCTTAAGTCCTGGACCAAATTACATCTACCACTGGGTTGTTTTACAGCTTGGAAGTCTGCATGCAAGGCAGAGGTGAAGTAAGGAACTGCTTATGAGATTTTCAGTCAATTCCAACAACTAAGAAATAGAAGAGTTGGGACTTCAGAAGGCTTTTAGGACCAAATAGTAGGCTCTTGTATCCAGGAGAAAATGAATATACTTACCAGTAATGTTAATGCTCATCCACAGCTCTTCTGGGAGAATCTAAATCATTGAAGCGTCCTCCTTTGTTTCCAGCTGGGAGCTGGGGCCTGTCAGTCCTCTCAGCCACAAGGACCTGATGTGGGCCACCTTTGGCCAAGTGTCCTTCAGATCCACACTTAAAGCAAGTGAGTGGGAGCTTCCTCTCTACTCCCTTGCCTGTCTGTGGCTCTCATCTGTGACACTGTTGTTCCAGATTGTTAATCTCCATATCCACAATGTCCAGTCATCTATTCCCTACTCTTACTTCCCCATGTCAATTCTATTTTTATAGGTGGTCATATGCAATATTTGTCCTTTTGTGTTGAGAAATTTCACTCAGCATGTCATCCATCTCTTTGCTATTGTGAATAAGTCTGCAGTAAATATGGGTGTGCATGTATCTGTCTGCATCATGGCCCTGTTTTCTTTATAGTTTTTTGTTTTACTCCTGGATCCCTGATCCATCTTGAGATGGTTGTGTATGGTGTGAAGTGTGGGTCTTGCTTCCGTTTTCTGCAGATTGTTTTCTAATTTTTCCAGTACTATTTGTCAAAAAGACTGTCATTCCCCTACTTAACTGATTTCATCTGCTTGTCAAAGATCAGTTGACCATAGGTAGATGAGTTGGTTTCTGGGTTCTTGATTGTATTTCATTGTTCTGTATTTCTCTGCTGTACCAGTGACATACTGTCTTGATAATTATGGGTGTGTAGTCGAATTTAAGATTAGGGAGTGTAATGGCTTCTATCTTGTTTTTTTTAAGTACTGCTTTGCTTATTCAGGGTCTCTTTCCATTCCAGACAAAATTGGAAATTGCCATCTCATTAAAAAATGGAAGTGGTATCTGTAAAGAGATTACATTGAACTTGTAGATAGATGTTTGTACAATTCTCATTTTTTCACAGTATTGAGTGAAAAGCTAGAGGAAATAGACAAATACTTAAAAACTCAAAACTCACCCAATCCATCTCTTAAAAGATCTTCATTTCTTTCTTTCACTTTGTACCTTTGCCGACATAACATCTCTCCAAAACAGATTCCTCCTAAAAATATGCCCAAAGCAAATGAGTCAAAGTCTCACCATCCTTGCCTCTAAGATCACTCAAGTTGCACTTCCTTCAAGACAGATTTGTCTATTATTTTGGCAGCCCTTGGTATATTCAATAATCTTCATCAACACCACAATTCAAAAACATTGATTCTTCTTCAGTGTTCCTTATTAATTGTCAAACTTTCAGATGCATAGGAAGCAATTGAAAACCAAATAGGTAGTTAGAGTTCTTCCTTGGAAAAATAATTTTTTTTTGCCTCTAGACCATACTTCTAATCTAAATATTTGATGTTGGTAGACAGGACTTAGGAATGTAAATAATTCAACTCACTTCACATCTATTTGGAAAATAATTCAGAGTATGTATCATCCAACAGAGGCTTTGCATTGTTGTTAAATGCCATTGAGTATGACTCACAGCAACCTTATGAACAAAATATCTGAACCTTGTTCTATAATTATCTTCATTTCTCTAATGTTCATAGAGTTGTGAAAGGCTTGTTGTTTAAGAAGTGGATGCCAATCCTGCTTCCAAGCCTGTCTTCATCTGGGAGCTATTATGACATTTGACATACCAGTGGCATTGCATTCAGTATCAAAGCAGCCCCAAGTTATCTCAGCACAGCAAACTGACAGACCAGTGCTATATCCCTTAGAACAATGTTCTTCCCAAATACAATTAATACCAGGCCAAGGGCCCAACTGACTTTTAAATTCGAAGGCCTTCCCACCAGGTCCTGACTTCCTTAAACAAGAGGCTTCCAGCACACAGCCAAATCCAAAGACTATTCAGCTCACACATGATTGTAAACAAAATAAACAAAACCAAAACAGTTTACACCCAACTTTTGACTAAATTAAGAGAACCTTCCCTCCAGAATCCAACTGCTTCATACAGGAACCTCCAAACTAGAGATTTGATCAGGGACCAAATGAATTTTTAAATAAAAAAATCCAACCCACCAGGTCCTGATTGACTTAAACAAGAGGTTTCCAGCCCACAGTTGATTGTTAGCTAAGTCCAGGTGACCAATCTTAGAGGACAAAATATTTTTATACTGAGAATATATGTACACTAGGTTTATTCAGAAAAACACACCTAAAAAGAAAAACACATACTAGCATAGTAATCCCAAATAAATGGTATTCATCCAGTTCTAGGGAAGGATCAGGATCCCTCTTCCAATAAGACAATATCCAGGCCCTGAGCTCCAACTTGCAACTATCGAAAGAGTTAAGTTTCCAGACTGAAAGACTTTTCTAAGTCTTTACTTTTCTCATTACAGTTTTTTCAAGAAGATGAGATGGAGAAACTTGAACAGCTTGTAGAAAAATATCCCTGTGCCTTCCCTCGATGGGTTGGACCCTTTCAGGCATTTTTCTATATCTATGATCCAGACTATGCAAAGATCTTTCTGAGCAGAACAGGTAAGAAAAACACCAAATCTCCATATCCTAGGGATGATATGCCCAAAGTACACAGGCAAAATTCTAAATGACACAGATGACTCTGGAAGCAAAGATGGGTAGCAGGCCTTTCAGAGACCCTGAAGAAAATATGAGAATATTTTCTGCAATTATTAAAGGGGATTCCTATATCTTCCATAATTCCTTATCTACTTCAGGACTCCCCTTAGAGTTGAGTGGACCATGGCCAGATTTTCAAGTACTTCCATTATTTTGTGGGGTTTCACTTATTAACAATAATCCCCAGCTATGTTTTTGTTCTTATGTGTATTTCTTTAGAGGAAGTCAAGAGTAGTTCTTCTGCTGGTTCAGTCTGTAAACTTGAATGCTAGATTGGTAGTTTATCAGTCTAACATCTTTACTATGGTATAAATTTTATTTTTATTTTTCTGCATATTTCTTAACTATATTCCTTTACACCCTAAAAGAGAATATGTTGTTGTTGTTGTTGTTAAGTGCCGTAGTGACCCTATGAAGGAGCGTCCTCAACGCTTGGGTGTCTTTCATCCTCTCTCTAGGTTCATAGGGTTTCCAGAGGCAAGCTATTATGGAAGTGGATGCCACTCCTCCTACCAAGCTTGTTTTAATAGGGGAGCTCCACCCCACTCTCTGTCCACATTGGGTAACCAACCATGAGCACCTTGGACAAATCAGTGTCACAGTGTTCAGCCTCACAGCAACCACAAGTTACCTCTGTACAGCAACTTGTACCCCAGGGCTCTACCACCTAGAGGAATGTCTGAACAAAAACAATGAAAAACAGGCCTGAGGGCTGCGGATTAAAAGTCACCCAACTTGATAGCATCGCTTTCTGTCCACTGGGCCAGCTGATCTCTCTCTCTATGTTAATGTTCTCTCAACATTAGGAAAACAAAAATTGAAAGGTCTGGTTTTGGCCTCTTAATTAGTTCCAACTCAGTGAACACACCAACAAACAACACTGGAGGCTGTGTGCAAAAGAAGAGAATATACTTGAGAAATATTTTCTCACTCAATACTTTTCCATAGATGAACTATTATACAACCACTGTGTCCCATTGATTCTAACTCATTTGTTATTAGGTGCTGTCGAGTCAACTACAACTCATAACTACCCTGTGAACAATGGATCTGAATCTTGTCCTATCCTGCACCATCCTTACAATTTCTGTCATGCACAAACCCATTGTGCTAGTCACTGTGTTATTCCATCTGTCAAAATAAACTTGTTCCTATCTTTTTCTTACCTTCTGTCCTTTTCTGCATGATGTCTTGCTGAAGAATTGATTCCTCCTTAGAATATTCCTAAAATGAGGTGACGTTTCTCCATCCTTGCCCTTCAGGGGTACCCTCGTTGCACTTTCTTTGAGTCAGACTTGCTTGTTCTTTTGACAGTCCATGGTCTATTCAATAATCTTCAACAATACGAAAATACAAAGACATTTATTCTTCAGTTTTCTTTATTGATTGTCTAATGAATTTCAGATGCATAGCAAGCAGTTGAAAAGACCATGGCTTGCATCAGATGCATCTTAATTATTAAACTGGCATCCTTGTTTTTAGAATTTTGGAGAGGTCCTTGACAAAAGACGTTCCAATGTAACTCATCTTTTGATCTCGACTGCTGCTGCCATGAGTGTTGATCCAAGTAAAATTAAATTCTTGATAACTTCAATATTTTCTCCATTTTTCATGATATTGTCTATTGGTCCATTGGTGAGGATTTTTGTTTTCCTGACATTGAGGTGTAAGCCATATTGAAGGCTGTAGTCTTTGATTTTCTGAACTAAGTGCTTCGAGTCTTTTGAACTTTCAGCAAGCAAAGTTGTGTCATATGCATAATGCAGGTTGTTGATGCATTTTCCACCATTCCTGATGTCACATTCTTCTTCACATAGTCCAGGTTCCTGAATGATTTGCTCAACATACAAATTTATTAAATAGAGAGAAAGTATACAACCCTAATTGATACCTTTCCTGATTTTAAATAATGCAGTATTCCCTTATTCCATTCAAACACCTGTTTCTTGGTCTATGTAGAGGTTTCACATGCACACAATTATATATTATGTGATTCCCATTCTTCTCAGTGTTAGCCATCATGCTTCTCAGTGTTAGCCATAATTTGTTAATTTGTTATGATCCACACAGTCAAATGCCTTTGCATAATCAATAAAACACAAGTAAACATCTTTCTGGTATTTTCTGCTTTCAACCAAGATCAATCTGACATCACCAGTGATATCCCTTGTGCCACAGTCTTTTCTGAATTTGGATTGAGTGTCTTGGAGTTTTTTGTCAATGACAGTTGATTTTTAAATAATCATTAGAAATATATTACTTGCATGTGATATTAATGATACAGTTTGATAATTTAATGATACAGTTTGGTAATTTACCATTATCTTGGATAACCTTTTTTGAGAATGAGAATGAATACAGATCTCTTCCAGTCAGTTAGTTGGATAACTTTCGAATTTCTTGCCAGAGACCAGTGAACACATTCAGGGTTACATCTGTTTCCTGAACCACATCAATTGGTCCCATCAATTCCTGGGGATTTAATTTTTGCCAATGTCTTTGGGCAGCTTGCAGGACTTTTCCTCTAATACCACTGGGTTATGATCATATGCTACTTCCTGAAATGATTCTGTGTCAGCATGTTTTTTTAATGTAATAACTCTGAGTATACCTTCCATCTACTTGTGATGCTCTCTGTATCATTTAATATTGTGCCTATGGAATCCTTCAGTGTTGCGAGTGGAGGCTTGAATTTGTTGTTCAGTTTTTTGAACCTGACAGATGCCGACCGTGCTCTTCCCTTTGTTTTTCAAGCACCAGCTTCTTGCACATTTCAATACTTTATTTTATCTTCTCAAATTTCCCATTGAAATCCACTGTTCAACTCTCTTACCTTTAGTTTGGCCTCTTTTTCATTCCAGTGCAAGTATTAGTCTTTTTTGACATCCATTTTAGTCTTTTCCTTTCTCCCTATCTTTGCTATGACCTTTTGTTTTGTTCATGGATGATATTTCAATTCATAGCAACCCAAAACTACTCTATAAAATAGAATAGAACTGTTCTTTGGGTTTCCGAATCTATGAATGTTTATAGGAGAGCAAATTCCTTCATCTGTCTTCTGTGAGTACCTGATAAGTTCAGACTGTCAGACTTTCAATTAGCTGCCTAGCACTTAACCCACTACATCACTAGGGATCTTTATAGAATACAGTAGTAAAAAAACAAATATCCATTCTTTTGTTTTGTTAATTTTATAGAACCAAGGTCTCAGAGACTCCTCTTTCTCTGCCAGTCTAATCTTTCCACTGCCTTTAAGTAAACCTAATAATACAGAATAGCCTTTTCAAAAGCCTCCATGTTATGCAGTCCTCTGGCTCTGATTTGTTTCATATTTACCTTTTTTTTCTATAATTATATTTTATTAATTTTCATAAACATTTACAGAGATTTTGGGCTTCCACTCATTCATTGTTGCACTTTTCTCCTTATGTGTGGCTTCTCACCAGTGCTGAAGACCCTGACACCATCTATGCCATGTCAGTCTTCATGCTGCTAG